AAAAATAGTAACATACTCCAATAAAAAATATTTAAATATTCTTTGGTGATCAGTAAAGATATGAAAGAAATGGTGAAATTACAGCCGGTTTCTCTTACCGGTGTCTCTCGTCTCCCCTGGGTGAGGATCGGGGTTAGGCTCACTGCTAACACGTTCACAGGACTCACTGTAACAGACACACTGCTGAAGAGCTGCTACGATCTGAATCGAAAAAGCGAGAAACACAAACAAACGGGTCACAAACAGAATAAAAAAATAAAAAAATTTAAGGTCTCCATCACCAGAGCAGGTCAAGTGTTCGGAACATTTGAGAACTGATCCATCGGCCTTATGTGGAAACTTATTGGCATACAAATGAGTTCGAGATACTGTAGATATTATCTGTTTAAATGATTAAATTACATAAATTATATGACTGCTTACCAAAGATTTGTATTTTCTCTCCAGGAGCCTGAGAACCACCGTCCTGCTGTAGTAACCATGCTGTGGAGGAAGGAAACAGGACTTTAAATTCAATTTAGAGTGGATTTAAACTTTTATTATCAGCAAGGAAACAGTTGTAAGTGAAAATATATATTCTACAGTCTTGAGCAAAAGTTTAGCGTAATTTCCAAACATTTATCAAAGACAATCCTCCTTCTCTGGCCAAGTTTTCAGCTAATAGTTCTTTAAGAATCAGCTTTTTGCTGCAAAAATCCTCTTTTCTGTCTGTAAAACTGTGTTATGTTACGCTTTGTAATAAAAACTAAAGATAAAAGACAAAGTTGGTTCTTGGCCGAGGTCACATCTAGAGTTTCATGTCTGGAAATGATTCAAAGGTCAGTGTTAACTGGTAAAAAAATAAGATAAAAAACAACTCTAAAAATAAAAAATAATCTACAAGAACCTGGCTGAAAATGAGAGAAAAAGCAGCCAAAAAATAGACTTTCAGAAACATTCAGAAAGCCTGGAGAATTGTTGTATGCGGCCACTTTAAAAGATTACATGAGCGTTTGGCTCCTAGGAAGCTTAATCTATAAAAAAAAAATCAAAAACCCTTCCTAACCAGAGCATATTTGGCTGCTTTACGTACCGTCCATTTATTAAACCAGGTGGCTTTAATGTCCAGCAGGGCCAGTAAGTGGATCGGTTCGAGGATTTTCTCGGTTTCTGATGAGCTCTGTTCATGGTGGAAGCACAACAGGGAAAAGGTGCTCTCTATAACCTCCTCCATGTATCTGAAATAAAGCACAGAGACGAAGGAATCAGAATTAAACTTTTTTAAAGTGAGGGACATTTTAAAGGTACTTTTTCTGTTCTACACCAGATTTGATCTGATCTGATTCGGAGTTGTCTAACCCAGTGTTTTTCAACCAATGTGCCTCGGTACACTAGTGATGGCCAGGTGTGCCGTAGAAAATCATCCTATTTCTCATTTCCTATTTCTAAAAAGGTTTTTTGATAAGGAATTAATTATCTTCAAATAATATTCCATTTTTGAGTGTCTGTGCTGTTCTAGTGAATGGTGGTGTAATCATGTAATAATTCCTTATGACTATATTTTATATATAATTTTGTATATTGAAGTGGACATGTTAAGTGCAATTTGAAAGAAGAAATATAAAATATGATAAAAAGACATTTTTGTGTTTATTGAATTCCTATTCAAGAATAAAATAAGAATAACTATAGTGTTACTATAGGCGGCTACAGATTTGTTTAACATTTTTGTGCCTCGTAATTTTTTCTATGAAAAGATTTACCTTGGCTCAAAAAAGGTTGAAAAACACTGGTCTAACCGATGTTGTGTGCTCAAAAGAGGAAAGGAGAAAACTGTCCTACTTCTCTGGATGGCGAATCCAGTAGGTGGTCACTTCCTTCTGAAAGTCGTTCATCAATCGAATCTGAAACGAAACAGAGCGTAAGGAGAAGGAGGAATGAGGAAACCTTCCTCTGAGTAGAGAGGCTTACTGAAGAAAATCTGCAGTACCTGTTTAAGAAGACGGGTGACTTCAGGTCTGTGTGTGTCTATGGTGGCTGAACCACTGGGGAAGCTCAGCCTGAGGGTCCGAAAACTTGACTCCACACTTTGGGCTGGTCAGGAAAAACACTCCTCTTACAAATCAGGCATTATTCTCCCCAAAATGAACATTTTAGCTTAACTAAAAATTCACATTTTTAACATTCTAAACTGCAACATCTTCATTATTTCTGGGTTGTTGCATGAATTTAAAGGTATAGAAATCTAACCAAATAAACTACATCATAATCTTATGTATATATTTATTTATTTATTTATTTATATTTATATATATATATATATTCATATAGTTCAGTTCACCTTCTCTTCCGTAAGTTT